CTCTCCCTCCCTCCCCACCCTCGTAACCATCAAAGAATGTTTTCTTCTGTGTTTAAAGCTTTTCTTGAGTTCTTGTTACAGTGGTCTTGTACAATATTTGTACTTTTGTGACTGACTAAATTCACTCAGCATTAATGCCTTCCAGATTTCTCCATGTTATGTTTCACGGATTCATCTTTGTTCTTCATCATTGCACAGTATTCCATTGTGTGGATATACCATAATTTGTTTATCCATTCGTCCGTTGACGGGCACGTAGCTGGTTTCTATCTTTTTGCTATCGTGAACAGTGCTGCAGTGAGCATGGGATGCGCACATCTATTCGTGTGACGGCTCTTATTTCTCTAGGATATATTCCAAGGAGCAGGATTGCTGGATTGTATGGTAGTTCTATTTCTAGCTTTTTAAGGAAGCGCCAAATCGATTTCCAAAGTGCTTGTACTACCATTTTACATTCCCACCAACAGTGTATAAGTGTTCCAGTCTCTCTACAACCTCTCTAACATTTATTTATTATTTTGTGTTTTTTGGATTAATGCTAGCCTTGTTGGGGTGAGATGGTATATCATTTGCTTTTCTCTAATGGCTAAGGATCGTGAGCATTTCTTCATGTGTCTGTTAGTCGCCTGAATGTCTTCTTTGGCGAAGTGCCTATTCATATCCTTTGCGCATTTTTTAATTGGGTTATTTGTCTTTTTGTTGTTGAGGTTTTACAGTATCTTGTAGATTTTAGAGGTTAGACGCTGATCAGATTTGTTGTAACCAAAAATTTTTTCCCAGTCTGTAGGTTGTCTTTTTACTCTTTTGGTGAAGTTTTTTGATGAGCATAAGTGTTTGATTTTTAGGAGCTCCCAGTTATCTAGTTTCTCTTCTGGTGTTTGTGCATTGTTACTTACGGTTCGTGTTTTGTTTATGCCACGTATTAGGGCTCCTAGCATTGTCCTTATTTTTTCTTCCATGATCTTTATCGTTTTATTTGATCCATTTTGAGTTAGTTTTTGTGCATGGTGTGAGGTGTGGGTCTTGTTCCAGTTTTTTGCGGATAGATATCCAGTTATGCCAGCACCATTTTTTAATAGACTGTCTTCTCCCCCAGTTAATGGACTTTAGGCCTTTGTCAAATGTCAGCTGCTCATAGGTGGATGAATTTATGTCTGGATTTTCAGTTCTGTTCCATTGGTCTGTGTCTGTTGTTGTACCAGTTCCAGGCTGTTTTGACTACCGTGGCGGTATAATAGGTTCTAAAATCAGGTAGTGTGAGGCCTCCCACTTTGTTTTTCTTCTTGAGTAATGCTTTTCTTATCTGGGGCCTCTTCCCTTTCCATGTGAAGTTGGTGATTTGTTTCTCCATCTCATTAAAAAATGCCTTTGGAATTTGGATCGAGATTGCATTGTATCTGTAGATCGCTTTGGGGAGAATTGACATTTTCACCATGTTGAGTCTTCCTATCCATGAGCAAATTACGTTTTTCCATTTATGGAGGTCTCTTTTGGTTTTTTGCAGTAGTGTCTTGTAGTTTTCATTGTATAGGTCTTTTACATCTCTGGTTAGATTTATTCCTAGGTATTTTATCTTCTTGGGGGCTATTGTAAATGGTATTGATTTGGTGATTTCCTCTTCAAAGTTCTCTTTGTTGGTGTAGAGGAATCCAAC